CAGGGAAGACAGATATATGGCTCTAAAAAAAAATAAAAATGAAGAGAAGAGAAGAGAAGAGAAGAGAAGAGAAGAGAAGAGAAGAGAAGAGAAGAGAAGAGAAAAAACCCTACCCGCTATTTCAAGACTTACAAACTAACGCTTTGAATAGTCAAAATGTCCCAGGAAACCGGAGGAAATATGTCGACAGTGTAACAGCCGTGCACACGCCTTCGCGGACACTCCCTGTGAATGGCTGCGCGCCGGGACACTGCTGGAAGGGGCGGCTGCAGCAAGCCCTGACATCCCTGTTGAGCCCTCCGTCCCTCTGTCCATCTGTCGGAGAGTCCATCCAGGCCAGCCAGGGCCACCGTCCCTGCCAACCCTGCCTGCTCGCAGCTGGTCGCATCTGTTGTCTGCTGTTGAGCAGGGGACGTCTGGCTGCCACACCCCTCAGGTAATGAGAAGAAACCAAACCTAACCACAAAATCAACAAAATCAACAAACACACTCCCCACAAAAAGCAAGCAAGCAAACAAACAAACAAACAACTCCAACAATAACAACAACAACAAAAAAACCCCAACCAACCGACCGACCGACCAAAAAAAACCCCCCAAAACCAGAAAAAAATCGCAAGAAAACACCAGCAAAATCGGAGGTCCTATTCAGCCCTTTCTGTCAGATAAAAGACATTTCTGTCTTTGTGTAGGTAACCAACCAGTCTCCTGCGAGTGAACCTACGCAGAATCCACCTTTTTCTTGTATTACTTCTGCTGACACTTGCAGTGACCCCGAGCCAGATTTTCATGCCAGACCCTCCATTTACCTCAGCAGGAAAAGAGTCTTTTGCATCTTGATCCGTCGATTTTATTGGTGGCGATGAGACAGATCACTCATGATGGAGTCCCATACCCACGCTCCCTCCCCAGTTTTACTTTATTTCGATGGATACGGGGAAAGTGGGGGTTATCCTTTACCACCCACCCTTAGAGTGGGCTTATCACCCTCCTCCTGCAGATGAAGGAGGTGGATGGAAGCCGAGCCACCCAAAAGGTGCCTCCCGGGGGCAAGGGCGCATCGAGAAATCCCAGGAAAGGGGGAGCCGCAGCCCGTGGCGTTCACGGACAGCCGGAGGAGGTGCGCACGCATAAACGACCCTCGCCTCTGCGCTACCCCTGCCACCGCCGGCAAGCCCCCCTCCTCTTCAGCTCGGGTTCAACCTACCACTTAGCAGCATTTCCAAATATTTATTCGATTAAATGTATAGAAAAGGCCTAATTGGGCGGTGGGAGGAGGCAAGCTACTTAGCGAGGTGCTAAGAGGAGTGGGAAGGAGAGCTTTGTAACTGCCGTGCCCCGAGCAGGTCCCCTGCGCGGGGCTACGGTGGGAGGGTCCCTCCTCTCCCAAATTCCACCGACCCCCAGCTTCCTCCCCTCCAACCCCACCCCAGCCTTTGAAGTGCTGCCGCAGCTGTTGGTGAGCATGGAGGGGCCGCGGAGCCCTGCGCGGCAGGATGCAGGGATGCGAGGGAACTCCCTGCCGACCCCGCCTCCTGAGGAGCTTGGGGAACCGAGGAGCCTCCGGGGACAGCGCCCGGGCCCCCGGCAACAACACGGCAGAAGAAATGTAGATGGGGCTGGTTTTAAAGCAGCATGTTGTAGAATACGAATAAGTCGGCAGAAACTTGCTGAGGGACCCCAGCCTGTCTCCACATTCACTTTTTTTTTCCTTTTTTCCCAGCAAATAGCACGCGATTACGCGATGATACAGTACTTTTAGCTGCCATATGAATGCCCGAGAAGCTGCAGCATGGCAAAGGGAAACATCCACTGACACAACGCAGACTGGGTAGTTAACACTTCAAAACACAATACGTCGTATAAGCAAAGTTTAATAAGGGATTGAAACACTTCTTTCTAGGCACATACATGGAAATAAGTGCATCTCGTACACCTCCTCTACACCTGCAAGTTTCTTGGCAATCCGTGGGTTATTATTATTCATAAATATGAAAATTAATTGAAAAATATCTACGAAAAAGTTTATCTGTTTTCATCAGTGGGATAACACTGTAATGAATTTATTTACATCTCATTGGAAGAAACTGAGACCTGTTTTTCTATTTCGATATCCCCGTTTGTTTTGTTTATTTTTAGGTGGTGGAGGGGCTGGTTTTTTTTTTGTTTGTTTGGTTTTTGTTGTTATTTTTGGTTTTGGGGTGTTTGTTTGTTTGGGTTTTTTGGGTTCAGGTTTGGGGTTTTGGGCTTGTTGTTGTTTTCTTTTGTTTTTGCTTAACTGCTAATTCATCTGGGTCCCAAATCACCCATCCCACCATAAAGCAGTGCTGAAAATATTTCTTTCATCACCTCCCATGTCTGAGCATTCCCTCTCACTCCCTGTTGAGAGCTCGGAGGGGCTGCTGGACTCCCTTTCTCCTGGGAAGGCCCCGGGGAAGGGGCAGGAACAAAGCTCTCACTCATGCAGTGTCCAAGTGAGTGACAAAAGGGAGGATGTCTGTCTGTCTGTCTAACTCCTAAATCCCTGTTCTTGTGTGCAGGTCTGGAATTATCCAAGTCCTCCCACTCCCAGCACCTATGAATACAGGCCGTTTCTCCATCCTGAATGGGGTGATACCCCCATAGAGGATCTGCCCGTAATCTTGATTATCCAGCTACAACTGTCTCCTGCATAGAGCTGCTCTCACCTCAGATCTGCTGCGCCTAGAATATTAAAAACCCCAAGTGAGTTAAATTGAAGAATTTTGTTGAAGAAAAAAAAAAAGGCAAAAAAGAAATAAAGAATGAAAAAAAATAAAAAGAATGGGAAGATTGAGAGAGAGAGAGAGGGAAGGGAGAGAGAGGGAAGGAGAAAGAGGAGAGTATGGAAGATAGCAAATTAAAGGGAAAACACTGCCCATGTCTTCACAAACTGTGAAGTCTACCTCATCTAGACTTGTTTGGAGGGCATAGGAGGTGTCTGTGTGAGGGGGACAATGTTATTTTTGAAGATCCAGCTTTATTAATACATTAAGAAAGAGCTCCCTTGGTAGTATGTGTTCTTACAGCTCTGTCTCAGATCCTATAAAACATTAATGCACTGAAAGCTGCTACAGAGATCTGCACCACCAGCCTTTACCTTCAAAGGAGCTCCATTACAAAAACAATTTTTAATTTTATGGGGAAAAAAAGACAAGCTGAAATGAAAAGGGGTTTTTGGCACAGAGCTGAGGCCCTGGCAGTGGGTGGGCCATGGTGTGGGATGTCACAGCCTGTGTTTTTTGCATGGCCATGGCACATAAACATACATGAAATGCACTAGCTCACCACCCAATGAGCAAGCATCCAGCTGGATTTCTGTATTAATGGAGTGGGAATACCCTCCACACACAGCAACTAGATTTTGGAAAAAAATCAAGAGATCTGTTCTGGCTGACAGTAAGCACAAGGCATGCACACTGGAGCACATATTGGGGTCTGCGAGTCCTTGGAGTGGGAAAGAAGATAAAACCAAAAAAAGTCAACCCCATGCCAAGCCCCCACAAGCAGAAAGCCATCATGCCTGGAACAAACAGGATCCATGGTTAGAGTATGCCTCCTGCTGCACAGGTAGAGATAATGGCATGTGGTTACTTCTGTCCATGCCCACGGTGTCTGAGGTTAAAAAGCAAGGTGTGAACTCAGCAGAAAATCCAGGTGATGGGAATGTGTTTCAAAAGGGGCAGGCCAACCTGATAGGCCCATCAGCCTTGGTGGAGAGTTTGTGGTGCAGTCCCAGTAAGGTGAGGTCACCTAAGGCATCACACTGCAACTCCTGCTCCCTTTTTCTAGGCCTTGACAGCTCAGTCCTAAGCTTATACAGTCAAATCAATTTTGGAACATCCTGTAGTTTGCACAACTTGGTTACCCCTCCCAAGTACTTTTTAAGTTCTCCTTTTTAGCACCAGTAAAGGAGTAAAAAAATGTGGGGAGATTTTTGCTGTTATGGTTTATGGTTTTTTTTCCTTTTTCTTCTTTTATTCCTTTTTTTTTTTTTTTTTTTTTTTTTTTTTTTTTTTTTTTTTTTTTTTTTTGTGAGTTGTTGGCATGTTTCAAGCAACAAGACTCATGGGTTGTGGGGTGATAAGTTGGGGGTTTTTTTGCTAAATTCTTTTATTTTTTTTTAAATTCTCACTTCAATTTTAATTCTTGAAGAACAGCTTTGACAACATATATCGCACTCATTATAAGAAGCAAAGGGTTATATCAAAAATTATTAGTATAGAATCACAGGAAACCTGGTTTGGAACCAGAAAAAAATACAAAACAGATATAGATACATAGACACAGGACAATTCTTTTATAATTATTTGGAAAATGTTATTTCCCCCTAATTCTCCTTTTTTTTTTCTTTATGCGCATATGATGTTTTAACTTTTACCAAAATTGAAAATAAAGACTAATATATTACAAAAGGAGCAACAATGTTCATGGTAAGTGTTTGCGCATGGAAATTTTGTTGTCGTTTGCTTGGTTTTGGGCGTTTTTGTTTTTATTCTACACAAGGTTCAGTTCAGTTTCAATGCTTTTTTGTTTTGTTGGTTTACTGTACAGCATATATCAACAACAGTCCACAATAAATCCTGGAAGATCCAGTATCCCCTTCAGGTTTGATTAATATCCCCTCAATACTCATTTTTTTTTGTCTCTTTTATTAATATTATTTATTTCTTTTTTTCCTCCTCTCCGAAAGAAAACAGAAACAAAAACAAAACAACCAACCAACAAAAAAAAAAAAAAAAAAAAAAAAAAAAAACCCCCCAAAACAGAAAAAAAAAAAAAAAAAAAAAGGCGAAACATCACAACCTCCATGGACGACAGGTCCGTCCTTCTCCCCTCCACGGCCACATCTCTGCTCCCACTCGCCCTTTCTTTTGTTCAGTGTCCACCTCCCGGGCCCCCCCGCACCCCGACTGCCCCTCGGTGCGAGCGTTCCCCTCTCCGCCGCTTCGCCGCCTCTCTGCCGGGGGTGCGGGATGGGCTCTAGGAGCACTGGATGGACATGTAAGGCCAGTTGAAGCTGCTCCCCGACAGTAGCATATCCCTGATGAGGGTTTCGATGGGGGTTTTACCTACCAAGCGGACGAAGAAGAGCTGCTCGATGACAGAGGAGGAGACGGTGCGCAGGGAGGGCAGCCGCAGCAGCAGCTTCCCGAAGCGGCTCGGCTGGTTGGGATACTGGCTCCGCACGTACTCCTCTAGCGCGCACTGTGATTTCTCCTGGAGGCTCTCGATGTGCGCAGCATCCGATAGGCCGCAGGCGTCTGCCCACCGCACCGCACCCGCGGAAGCAGCCGCAGAACGGCGGCAGGCGGGAGGAGAGTGGAGGAAGGAGGTGGAGGAGGAGGAGGTGGAGGAGGAAGCGGGGGGGGGGAGATGGTTAGTGGCTGGGAACCACACAGGGAAATTCCGCGGGGATGGTGGGCAGCTCAAAGGCACACCCAGCATCCCATCCCATCTCATCCCGTCTCATCCCATCCCATCCCAACCCTTTCCATCCTATCCCATCCCATCCCATTCCATTCCATCCCATCCCATCCCTTCCCATCCCATCCCATCCCATCCCTCCCGATGCCACCCCATCCTAGCCCATCCCGTGCACCACTGCCAAATAAATAACACAACCTCACTCTGCCTCGCCGCCACCATGGGTATTTTCACCCAGGATGTGATGGGGTGGCAGCACCCCGCTCGTCCCAATCACACACACAAACACACAAACCCCCACAGTTCCTTTTCACATCCCCCCCACCGACACTCCGCGCTGCCGAGCGTGGTTTCTGCTCCACGGAGCCCATCACCGGGATGCTGGAAAACTGGACCAGCCCCCTTAAATAACGCCGAGAGGAAGAAAAATAAGGTATTGGGGAAAATAATAATAATAATGATAATAATAAATAACAACAATAATAATAATCAGCAGAGTTGCACACAAGCAGAGTGAGACACAAGGAGTTTGTTTACATGGCTGCACATCACAGAGAGGCAGCGACTGGGTCCTGCAGCGACTGGCAGGGAGCCGGCTGGGGGATGCCGTGGGGCAGAGGAGTCTCCTCTGCTCCTGCTTCACTGCCAGTGATCGCAAATTTGCGACATCTTTGTGGGCTGTATGAGAAATCCGGTAGCAAAGGGCTAGGTTAGTCCCAGCTTGTGCTCAGCAGGCATCTGTAGCTCTCAGACACAAAGCTGGGGAGAGCTGCAGCAGCTAAGCCTTGCCTAAATGAAACCAGAGAGACTCCTTCCTTATAGGTCCTTCTGACATCCAAACTGTCAGAAACACACACTTTGCACCTTGCAGAACTACATGACCTGGGCAAATGTGCACTAATCCGAGAGCAGAAGCCCTTTACACCCATGCATTGTATCTATACATGTTATTCTGTTAATACAGATACTAGTGGAGAGGTATGGATGCATCTGCGCATTTGCACACACACAGAGACACAAGCACATATCCTACCCCACACATAACCCAAACCAGAGGACAGTTGTGCACCAGCTGCTTGTGGAAGGACTTGCTCAGGAAACTACAGTCATGGAAAAGTGGTGGGTATGCCCAGATGGTTGAAACCATCCACATTGTTTCAAAGATTCAGAATAGATATTAAAAACACCAAACTAAAACAATAACCAAAAAACTTAACAAAACAAAAAAAAAAAAACAAAAAAAAAAAAAAAAAAAAAAAACAAAAGCAACCAACAAACCAAAAAAACCTCCAGCCATCAAGATCAGAGCGAGGCAGTCAGCTAGCAGTGCAGACTAACAGATGAAAGCCAGATTTTCCTAATATATAGATCCATATATGAATTAGTTAATAGCCCCCAAAAAGACATTATAAAAATGTGAATGTACAGTTGTGACCCTGGAAAGACACAACAAATCAACAAATTTTCCAAAGCTTAAAATAAAAGAAAATCTGTGGCACAGGCATTTTTGAAGCTTAAGTCTTCCCTTACCAAGAACTGACTTTACAAAGATTTTTGAACACCTTCATCTACAATACTGTAGCCTCAAGCAAAATACAAATAAAACAAGCCACAATTTAGGAACTTCTGAGAAGGAGAACCTTTGACCTGAGCTGTGGACTTGGCATCCCTCAGACACACAATTATCTCAGCCAGGTTGCTCTGCTAATCCATACTCTACCTTTAATGCAATGATATTTTGCAACATCTAAAGCACCAGGTTGCAACATATATATCTATCAAAAGCTGGGGCCTGTCCTTGTTTGCAATACATATCAAAAACCACAGACCTGTTCATATGTTGATTGCCACAAATCAGATTCCATATTTACATATATCTTGCTATTTTACATGCATTATCTGCCCATTATGCATTAGATCCTATTCAGCTTCCAAACAATGCAATATGAAAGGGTCTTAGTGACACCCTGGCAGATCTTTTTTCCTTATGCCCCATATGTCATACCCTTAAGGTTAGTAAAATATTTATCAGACATTTACAATAAGTGCACCTATAAGTGCAGGTCACTGGACAATGTGGATGGGGAATTTGCTCTCTAAAAGGGCATCAGCCTGATGTGTGTGGGTGCTTGAAAAATTGCCACGGGTTTTGCCTTAGACCTCGAAAAACTCAGAATTTTCTCATGCCAATAGTATCTGTTTGGCTTAAATTATTTTAAATGGCCTGGCATATGCCTTCATTTGGGTTTTATTTCACAGCATAAAGTGGGGGTTGCTAGGTTCAACTCTCCCTTCAGAACGAGATTAAAAATAATAATAATTATGGGATGCACAACTCGATTAGATTATGCAGCCCAGAGAGGTGCAATCCATGGGAGAAATAATGCAACCCATGTTTACTGAAGGTAAATTATTATTCCATCTCAGAAAGTGGGCTAATGTGAAAATCCTGTGTGTGCTTTGCTTTTTTATATGGCAGTGTGTCAATAAGGGAAAGCTCTATATTTCTTCTTGCAGTCTATGGAAAAGAAATTATGTAAATAAATAACCATTACTGTTCAACACACTCCAGCCTCCCCTTTGTAGTGGCGGCAATGTATTTCATGTTACATGTTCAAAAGAGTTTAGTGTTCAGAAAATATAGACATAATCAGCTGGCACCTAACTGGAAATCAAAAGTTCTTACTGCGCTGCAAATAGATTTATTTGATTTATGTTATCTGTCTCTGTCTGTTCCCGGAAACATTTATTTATGACAATGAAAAGGTAGATGCAGGAATTAATAATGCTAAAGTTTGGCAGCGGGGAGAAAGAGATGAGGGCAAGGAGGAGGGTATGCAAGAGAAGGTTAAAGGAGGAAAGAAAGGAGCTGGTTTTGGGTTACTACACAGCTTTTGGATGGTGTCCAGAATTTTACAGAATAAATACATACTCTCTGGAGCCCAAATGTAGAAACCACAACAGGAAAAATCCATGCCAGTTTTAGATACTTAGTCCTTAGTGAAGGACTTTGGACTATATGCCTAAAAATGTCTTTTCTGTCACTTAAACTTTGTTTAAAAGTTGCATGACTTTGAGAAAGGCTTCTCATTATTTCCCCTCTGAATATGCAATGAAAACAAGTTTAGTGAAAAGTGGAAATGTGCAGATGGGGTAAGGAGTAGTAGATTACTCCTGACAGCAGTATTTCCATTTCCTGAGATGCCCTGTGTGATCCTGCTCTGAAACAATATTATTGTTTCCTTCATTCAGTCTCCACTCCACTGTGGGAAGGGGCTTCTCCCCTCACAAATGTTATTACATTTGGTTTTATTATATGTAAATGAAGAGCTCCTCTAAAGCCACTTACCCTTTTTTCAGACAAGGTCAATTGTTTCAGAAGTAAAGGGGGAAGATTGGGTGGAATGGGAGAGAAGAAAAAGAAGAAAAAAATAAAATATTGCCTCAGCCATGTCCCTATCAGGGGCAACTTCCTTCACAGGGCCTTTGACATGTGGAAGGGCTGAGGCACAGGCCAGACATTTTCCCAGCTCTGCTTGGGAAGAATCTCTTCAAGTTGGGTCTGGGGGAAAAAAAAAATTGTTCTCCTTGACTATCTGTTTGTATTGATGAGCTCCCTGAAATGAATGGGAAAGGAAAGTCTGGGAGTCTGCAGGCAGGCTGTGGAGTTAAATCACCCTGATAAATGCAGGCAGGTCTCTTTGTCACTCTTGAAAAACATGTTTCCATCAAGAAGACTTATTATGATAAAATACATTAAAATGTCGAGTTGGCTATTCAGTAAATCTTCCATTTGTTTTAAGATTTGCACATTATCCTTTGCAAAGAAATATTCTCTCCAATGCTGCGAGACTGCATTTGCACTGGAAGTAAAAGGGGGCAGTCATAGTACATGTCTCTGACCACCCTGCATACAAATTAGATACTCCTGTCTAAATAAATTATCTGATGTTCAAATCGATATTAATACTACATTTGCTACATTACAATATAGTGCAAATTTAGGAGACATTTTAATACAATGTAAATACTATCTTTCGTGCTTGAAAGGCAGCAAATATTGATGGATTATAAACTGCTCAGTGTTAAACAAGGCCTTTGAACGATTTGTCATCTTTGTTCAGGAATGCTTTTAATTTTGCCTTGGCCTGGTTTTAAGGCACATTTATCACAACTGTTTAGTTGTTGCTAATCGGGAATAGAGGGGAGAGGCTCATACAAGAGAGGAACTAGGGGATGGGGAGAGGGGATATAAAAATGAAAAAGAAAAAAAAAAAAAGAAAAACAAGTAGGAGAGGTGGCAATTAGTCACATCGTGATGATAATTAGAATAATTATAAAACTACACTGCCCAGACTCTTATCTTGCCTTGTTTCCATTTCCTGTATTTCCTTCATATAGTTCCCCTTTGATGTTTATAAATTCTCCCTTGCAGGTTACAATAATAGTATACGTATTATATTCTTATAGGCTATGACCAGAGCACTTCAAAGGCAATGCTAATGCAACTTTCCTGCTAGTTAATTCAAACCATCTATCACAGGGAAAAATTGTTAACATGCATGTTTCCACCGCCTACACTTAATTTGATTTTGGTTTTCAGTATTATTTTTTTGGAGGGGCTGTGTATTAAAGAGCCAGTATCACTGACAATGAGGATGATCCCCGGACTGGAGTGTATCCCCATCAGGTGCTGTGCTTCCTTGACCTCCAGTCCCTTTCCTTTAAAAATAATTCTATTTAAATTTTTTTTCCTTATTTTCCTGCATGTGGTTTGGGGTTTTTTTCCTTTTCTTTTTCCCCAGACATCTCACATCCCCAACCCGTCCCCTCACCTGAGGTGAAGAGGACGATGGCTTTCAGGCAGCTGTATTCAGCCGAATCGACGTGCAGCGCCTTCAGCTTCTCCACCTGTTCCTGGAAGATGCGGATGTGGTCCATGAAGGCGACAACACGGTCTGCCGACATGGGGGAGGCGTGGAGGCCGGCGGCGGCCAGGAGCGGGGCCACATGAAGGGGCATGGAGCACTGGGCAGCATTGAGGACGAAGAGCTCGCTCCAGGTGAGCCGCAGCAAGGCCACCTGGTCGGTGATCTGCAGGTCAGGGAAGAAGGGAATATTGCGGGCCCACTCGACGGCGCTGAAGAGCAGACGGGCGGCCAGCTCGCAGATGTTCTCGATGCCCATGATGTTGTTGGGCTGCATGCACTGGCTGCCGTAGCGGGAGGTGGGGTAGGGCTCGGCCCGCAGCAGGAGGGAGATGTATCCCGAGAGATAGCAGTGCCCGTTCAGAGGGTCGCCGTTGGTCAGCGCGTACTGGCCGGGGTTGGGTTGGGTGGGCGGCATTCTTCCTCGCTGAACCGCTGACAAAAAGAAGGAGAGAAGGAGAGGAAATGTGCATCCAGGAGGCTCGCAGGCATCGCCCCGGCGGCGCTGCCAACCAGCCGGAGACAATGCCGGGCTTCTTCCCCTCCCCGCCACCGCCTCGCCCCCGGCACACGCACAGGCACGGACAGACAGAGGCATGCGGAGTCGGGCAGCTGCTGCCGACCTGCACTGAGCCCCCCGCCCGGCCCCTGCAGCGGCCCCGGCCCCGACCCCTGCTCAGGCAGCCTCAGCCCAGCGGCAGCCAAGCGCGTTCCACTCCCCCCACCCCCGACCACAATGCAGACAGGCTTCACAAAATAAACAGATTAAAAAGAAAGGAAAAAAAAAAAAAAAAAGCAAGGCAAACAAAAGGTGGTGAGAAAGTAGAGTTAAAAATCACAGCCAACTGTAAAAAATACAGCCAAGTTCTGTTGTGAATCCCAGCCTATTGCCCTGATACTACTGAAATTTACAAGTAAACTGATGCATAGCTTTTTAGAATAAAATATTAAATAAAATAATTCATAAAACCAAATGCGTACGTATTCTTCAAAAATACCTCGTCGTTACCCTTCAAGCTGGAACAGGTCGCAGCGTTCCAGCTCCCCACTGCTAACTTTATTACACAGAACCAGCTTTCCATCGAGTCCCCCCCCTCCCCCGCCCAGCAAAGTTTTTCCTGCTAAAAGGAATAGAAAGGTTAAATATTATCAAGGGAAAGGGGGAAATAAAATAAAAATGTCCGAACTTACAATAGCCAAACATTCGTGGAAAAAAAAGGGGACGGTGTAATTAATATCTTTGGTGAGCTGTTGCCACTGCAAAAGCCTGCAGTCAGCGTTGCACAGTGAATGCACAAGCTTGCAACTGCAAAAACACTGGATTCATTAACCATCTCCACACAGAGCGTAAGCATGCCTCTAGTCCCGAAAGCTGACCAAAGTTGGGGTTTTTTTGTTGCTTTTTTTTTTTTTTTTTTTTTTTTTTTTTTTTTTTTTTTTCTTTAAGTGTTATGCATGTGTTTTACTCCATCAGTGCCAGGGTTTGCAGCCGCTTGCCATGTAAACAAATGTAACTTCAGGGGAAGATACGGCTACTCAGGCTTGTACCCTGCACACACAGACGCCCCTCACAACCGCACACGCTTGCTGGCACACACCCGCACATGCAATCACTCATGTTTCCGGCATGCCACATTTTTCTCAACTTTCTTTTATCTTCCTCAACGAGTCCTCCTTCCACCCGGGCCAGACCTCTGTCCTGCTGCCCTCCAGCCTAGTTCTCCCTCTTCAATCTACTTGCAAACTTGGCAAATATTTTCATTTAACTGCATGCACAATTCTCACTTTTTTGTTTATTTTTTCTCCTCCTTCCTTTTTAGAAAAAATTTGCTTGCCTATACTCTCCCAGGTGCCTACCAACAGCCCCTGCAGCTACCAATGAAGCCATCATATTTGTGAGCTCTTTCAGATCTGAAGCAGCCTAATTCAATTCCTTTTCTTGTGGCATATAAAATACAGTTTTAAAATGCCTGCAGAACCAACTATTTCGCTGATGTGACGTCTTTAGAACACCTTTAACGACAGTCACAGTAAACTTTAAACCGAGAGAACATGTTTCAAGGAGAAAAGAGGGCAGGAAATCCCCCTACACGAGAATGAGTCTGAACGCAAGGAAAACCACAGACAACTTTTGGAAAGGAGGAGAGAAAAAAAAGCAGAGCAGTTGGAATTAGTGGGGACCCTGTGCCAGATGCAGGCTGCGGATGCTGCTAAAATGAGAAGAACCGGTAAAGAGGTTATAAATCGACATTAATATGAAGTCTTTAAGGAGAGGGTGGAGTTTGATGAAGAAATAAAATGAGCAGGGCATTAAATAAAAAAAAAAAAAAAAGAAAAAAGAAAAGAAGAAAGAAATGACAGAAGTACAGAAACACGGTTCAGTCACAAACTTTCCTTTGAACGCATGGAATGAAAACAAGGCCAAATCTCTCACAGAAGCACACTCCGGGGCACCGGGAAACACAAGGAAGAGAAGACAGAGTAGCACATTTCCTCCCCTTTTATTTTTTTTTCCCCCTTTTCTCCCTTCCATCTTTTTCACACCCTTTCCTCTTTCTCTAATTACTCGTCTTTCATCTTTCTTTCGGGAAAAATGAGCCTGAGAGATGGATCTACCGAGAGCTATTGCAGGTTTAGAAAGAAATGATGGGGTGGAAAGGGGGTGGGGAGGGGGTGAGGGGGAAGGAAGCTGAATGGAGTCGCATCTCGTACGGAGAAAGATGTATCTCCCCCCACCCTCCGGTCTCATGCCAACAATAGACAAAACCACATCTAAAACACGCACACGCACACACGCGCGCGCAGGGGGAAGTGGGGATAGAGGCTACATGATAAATATTTAGCAAGCGATTGTAATAATGGTAGTAGTAGTAATAATAATAATAATAATAAATTCTCTGCACAATTATCAGGAAAGGGGAGAGTGTGGCAGTGCCGGAGAAGGGGGTGGGGAGAAGCGGGAGGGAGGGCAGGAGGCACAAACCGAAAAGCAAAAGAAAACACCACCAACCACCATCGACAATAACAACAGAACCTGGTGCAAAGCTGCCAGATGGGGTGCAGGCAGAGGAAGAGATTGACATGTGCATGGAAATATATAGAGAGTCCTGGCTGGATTGCTACGCAGAGCCGTAAATATATATATATATATATATAAATATATAAATATATATATATGTGTGTGTATTTATTTTTACATATTTATATTTATGTGTGTGTGTGTGTGTTTGCACGCCGCACGTATATGCGCGCGTGTGTGTATATATATGTATATGCATATAGGTGCGAGTGTGTGCGCGTACGGACAGGCAGACACAGACAGACAGCCCTCGCACACGCACGCCTGCACAGCCAAGGGGACAGGGGAGCGATAGCATAGTAGGGAAGAAATATTCACCTTCCCGCCTCATGCCCACTTTGAGGCACTTCTTGAGGCGGCAGTACTGGCACTGGTTGCGATGGTGCTGGTCGATGGGACAGTTCCTGTTGGCGCGGCATGTGTAAGTTAAGTTCCTGCGGACGCTCCTCTTGAAGAAACTTTTGCAGCCCTCGCAGGTGAACTGGCCGTAGTGCTTGCCGCTGGACTTGTCTCCGCACACCACACATTCGATGTGCTGCTGGCTCTGCCCCGAGCCCTGCTGGCCCGCTCCCTTGTCTCCGGCCGCTCCCGGCGTGGAGGGGGGTCCCGGCTGGCTGGGGGTCTGCGGGGTGTGTGGGGTGGCCGAGCTCCCCTGCTGCTGGGGCTGCTGCTCCCGGGCCGGCTGCGTCGCGGCGGGGTTGGGGCCGCTCGGAGTGCCCCCGGCCACGTCTTCCTGCGGATCTCGCCAGCTGCTAACTACCATTGCCATATCTCGGGCCCAAAAAAGTGCTGGGGAGCGGCGCGTCTCGCTGCGGGCTGCCGGGGAGTGAGGCGGGGGGCGGGGGGGTGGCGGCCGCCCGGGCGCCGGGGGCGAGCGGAGTGCGAGGGGACCCTTGCTGCCGCCTGCCTCCGCCTCGGCTGCCGCCGCCGCTGCCCTGCTGCCGCCGCCGCTGCTGCCGGCTGGAGCCGCTCCTGCCGTTTTCTTTATTTTATTTATTTTTCGTCGCCGCGAGCCCCCCTCCTCTCGCTCGCGCTCTTGCTAATTTTTTTTTTTTTTTCAGAGAGGGGGAGGGGGCGACGGAGGATTTTCTCCCTCTCTCTTCCCCCCCCCTTCCCTTTCCTTTTCCTCCCTTCCTTTTCCTTTCCTTTCCTTCCCTGCCCTTTCCAGCACTCCCCCCTCTTTAAAATACCCCCGTCTGACCGCTTCTCCCCTCTTCTCCCGCTCTCCCCGGCTCTCACTGCCTCTCGTCGCCCGCCCCCCACCCCCACTTCAAGTTGCAAAATCAGAAAAGGCAAACAAGGCTGTCGGGAGAGGCATTCAGGAGAGTAACACGCCGGACACGCACACGCAGGCAGACACGCGCGCAAACGCCCGGCACACGGCTCCCCACTCGCGCACACGCACACACGCACGGGCACAGGCACACGCGGTCCGGGCGCTACGAGCGCGGAGGATGTGCAGGCATAGAGGAAGCCGCTGCGCCGCCGAGGAGGAGGAGGAGGAAAAGGAGGAGGAGGTGGAGGAGGAGGAGGGGAAGGAAGAGGAGGAGGAGGAGGTCGCCGCTCGCCGCCGCCGGGGCTCGGCCGCCGCCGCTCCCGCGGAGGCTGCTGTCGCCACCGCTGTCGCCGCCGCCGGTGCCGGTGTGGGCTCTCGGGGAGGCGGGAGGTCGAGAGACGAGCCGCTCGCCGGCGATCAGAGTATGGAGGTGTCCGGGGGCCAGGTCCAGGGCAGGGCGCCGTCAGCCATTCAGGGCGGTGGAGCCGGGGAGCGCGGCGGAGGCGGGCGGGGAGCTGAGGCAGTTTGATCTCCTGTCGCGGCGGCGGGGAAGGAGGAGGAGGAGGTTGCCGGTCGCTGCTCTTTCTCTCCCGAGCTGCTCTCTCTCGCTCTCTGTCTCTCTCGCTAGCTCGCGCTCTCTCTCGCCTTTTTTTTTTTTTTTTTTTTTTTTTTTTTTTTTTTAAATCGCAGAAAAAAATCGGATGTGACTAAATTCGCAGAGGAGACGAATTCACGGCGAAGTGTAAAAATAGAGAACGGGAATAATAATGACACTTGCAGGAAAAAGAGAGATCCAAAGTAGGTCGGTAAATAAATCCTCTTCTTCTCCTCTTTCTTGCCTTTTCGGTGTTCTTCTGTGAGAGCGCACGATACTAGTTGCGAGGAAAAAAAAAAAAAAGGAAGAAAATCGGTGGAAATCGCCCCAAAAAGATGCTGGGTTTTTTTGTTTTTTTAGTTGACTAAAAAAAGTATTTCATGTAAAAACTCATCGCCCAGAAAAGAAGCCCTCCCCCAAAATAAAAAAAAAATAGGCAAGAATTGTCAAAATAATAACCGTATTAAGATGCGAACGCGTTCTCTCTCTCTCCGGACTTTCCCCCTCCCCCCTGTTTTCTCTCTCTCTCCTTTCCCCCTTTTTCCTTTCTTTTTTTCCGAGTTTGGTTTTTTTTTTTTTTTTTTTTTTCCAGTTTAGGCTCTCTCCTCTTCTCCTGCAGGAATGAAGCGAAAGACACAAGGAGGAAGGGTGGAAAAAAGAAGAAAAGGAAGGAGAAGAGGGAGATGAAGGGGGGGCACACAACTAATAGAATATGCAAGAAAGGGAAGGGGGGGAGAGAGGGAGAGAGGGGGAGAGAGGGAGAGAGAGGGAGAGAGAGAGACCCAAAAAATGAATGCGTTTAAACGGGAAGCCTAGCAAAGCAATGTTTCCGAAAGGGGGATCTGCGCGAATGTCTGTATATAGTGAACTTTGACACTACTATTGAAACTGACACGTTTCTATGGAGATCGCTGCCTTATATGGAGCTCGTGTCAAGGAGCCAAGAGAAGGGCTGCTGGCAACTGATAATCAAAGGCGACTGACTGGTCAGAGCCCTGAACTGGGGGGGGAGAAAATGGGAGGTTAAGGTTAGCCAAGCCTCCTTCACTCCATTGGTTACCCCCCCAACTCCCCCCCCCCCCCCCCCCCCCCCCTCTTTNTTCCCTCCCTCCTTCCTTCCTTCCTTCCTTCCTTCCTTCCTTCCTTCCTTCCTTCTTTCTTCCTTTCCCTTTATTTTTTAAAATGTAAATTAAAAAAAAATCTCCACTACCTACTGAATTGGATGGGGAAGGGAAGGGAAAAGGGAGGGGGGAAGAAGGGAGGGAGAGAGGAAGGATAGAGAGAGGGAGAGGAGATTCTTCTGACAAGCACAATTTACTCTGAGATCCCTGTGTGCTGCTATTTACTTTGAGCCCTGATTAGTACGGGTCGTCTATGACCCCTCTACCCCTCCCCCCCCCCCCCCCCCCCCCTCCAAAAAAAAAAAAATCACACACATGGCCAGAGCAGGATGCATTGCATAGGCAGAAAGGTGCAATTAAAAGGACACGATATGGGCTCCCTGTGAAAAGTTGGTGTGGGTTGGCATGGTGTGTGGGTTTTTTTTGTTGTTTTGTTTTTTTGTTTTTTTTTTCCTACAGATCTGAAGTAGGGATTTATCTTCCGATTTCCAGTTGCAAAAGCCACTCCAGGGGTTTTAATGATGGAGAAGAAAACACCCGCGCTGCACGAAGGAGCAGGCGCCCGTACATGCACACCCTTGCACACACACGCGGTCGAGTCCACACACACATATTGCACACACACGCGGTCGAGTCCACACACATATTCAAATCCCCATATGTTCCCATCCTACTTCGGGCTATTTTTGCAGCCTGTCCCCTCATTCCTCACCTAACATGTCCACCCGCAGCCCCACAGGGCTCTACGCTTCTCGCGGGGGTTTCACCCCTACCCTTTAATTTTTTTTGGGGGGGTGTGTGAACAGATAGAATAACCCCATACGTCCTGCACTTCCCCTCCCCCCGGGTCTCCTGATCTCGCTAAGTGAGTTGCTCCACGCGGGAAGGGGGGATGCGCGGCGGGGCGGTGGGATGTCGGTCCCCCCCTTCCCCTCCGCTCCCCTCCGCGGCCCGGCGCGGCCTCGGTCCCGGCGAGGAGGAATCGCTGGCTCCGGCTGCCATCTAGTGGGCACGGAGCAGTCGGCCCAGGGGAGCCCGGGAAGCAGGGGGCTCCGAGCCCTGTCTGCGGTCTTCCTCTCCACCCCCGATTTTTACCAAAAAATGTATTTCCCCTTCCTTATTTTAAATAGAAAACTGCACTGAGGAGAAGACCCTCTTCTTTTCAATTTCTGTCTCTCTCACAAGCCGGCCTTATCGCCAGCTTCCCTTTCGTCAGGGATCTGAAATTTGCCTTGGGCTCGAAAGACTGCATGTGACAAAGAAGAAATAGACCGTAAAAACTGAACAGCTCCCCCCTGCAACAAAAAATCCCACCAAAACGAACACCCAAGACCCCTCTTCTCCCCAGCACACCTTTCTCTAGCTCCCATAAAAGATTATAATCAGATTAGAAGCTGGATGGAAAATCTGCAGAAGGAAAGTGAATTAAATAGGTGACAGAAGATTTATTCTTATTATTTATTTTTGTAAAGTCATGTTGCTTTAATTAAAAGTAAAGAGAAAAAAAAAAAAAGGCCCTCAAATTTGATGTATAGAGATTCACGATATTTTCTTTCTTTCCCTGTCAACTCTGAAATCTGAGGCTGGGAGCCGCCTGAAGAAAAGACTCCTCATCATTTCCAAAATCAGAATAAGCGCTTGATTTTGTCCCGAAATAATGAAGAGATTTTCAATGAGCCCCTTGGCCAAGCCGTCTCTGTTGTATATTGCATTGATAAAAAGGATGTTATTGACTATGCAACAGTAGGCTTCTTTCCTCTCTCTCGCTCTTTCCAAATAAAGTCTCCGTCCTGTCTCTTGATCAGTGAAAAGGTGAAACGAATAAGATTAAATAGGACAAAAAAGCAAGCTCCGTATGTGTATCATCAAGATTTTACTCCCCAGACTGTGAAGAGACAGGGAGTAAAAGAGGCAGAGCAAGGCACGAGAGGGGGGGGTGGGGGGGGGGGGGGGGGCCTCCTGGGGACCACCTGACAGGTCCAGCTGACCTTGGCATGTCGAGGGCTGCTGAGGCAGAAAGCCTGAGAGAAGGTGGACGGACCCAGCAGCCGCAGACCAGCTCCTCCCGAACCGGGCACCCTGCCGACGGCCCCGACTCCCCAGGCCACCCCAGGCAAGTCGCCGCTTCCTTCCTCGTGGTTTCGGGGCAGAGGGAGGGGAGCGAGGCCGCGACACTTGGCAGGGAGACCTTCCCCAATCCTGCCCCCCCCCGGGCCACCTCCTCTCCTGGCGTCATTTGGGCATCCCGGCATTTGGGAGGAGTGAAAGGCGCCCAGTCTTCATTCTGTCCGAGATTTTTTTCTCCCTTCTCCCTTCCGTTCTCCTTTCCCCCTATAGAAAAATGTGTGGGAATTTCCACGGCTCCCCTCCCCATATAACGCGCGTGTCCCACAGAGGTGACCCACGCAGGTACGGCATGCACCGACCTGGGTCCCAGGGGCAGCAGCAGCCTCAGGGCGCCGAGCTAGGGATGTGCAAGCATTCCAACGTTCTTCTCTTTCACCTGCTTTGTTTGTTGATCACCTAATGAAAAGATCGATGGCAGCTTGTTTATCAGGGTGATAGTGTCAACAGATTACAGGGGCAGTAATCAGATGTTTCCCAGCCGGGCTGGGAACAATTGTAATACAGAGGGAACCTAAACATGCTCAGACTGCGCTAGTCGGGGCAGCGGGGGTTGTGGGACGGGCAGAAATTTTTTCCTTCATCTGGCTGGAAAAGCTTGGTGGTTTTCATTCTCTCCGTGCTGCGGGAAAGCAGTTTTTGAACAGGGTTTGTAGAAATAGCCGATGGGTGAAGGGCCGGTGAAGTTTGCGGGAGTCCCGAGGAAAAACCCATCCCCGATGTCCTGTGGCTGTGCAGTAGCCTGCTGGGGAGGGGAGACGGGACTCCGGGCATCCCTCAATAAAAGTCTCATTCTTGTGTTGACCAGGTTAAAGCACAGTTCAGCCGAAGAGAGGAACTTCCTCTACTCTACAAATTACAGGGACACTTTAAAACGGTCACAACTCACGTTTCATTGGGAAATTAATTTTGATTCCTTTTTTAACCTCTGTGGATCTGGAATGTGTAAAGGAGATGGAGCTGG